ATTAGCATGGTAACATCAATGTATTTTTAAAAATTAGACAGCGACGTTCTCAGATCAGATCAGAAGTTGTTGATGACCTTTTGACCTGAATTCTGCAATGTGAGATTTTCGGGTCGATAAAGTCGAGACGGCCTGAGTGGAGTTTCATGTAAATGTTTCGTACGGAAAAAAAAATCGCTCACAGCACGGTATCACAGCACGGTATGGTCATAGCGGTCAAAGGTCAAAAGTTTCCAATTTAGCAAGAGGGCGCCATTCATGCTTATTACAGAATTTGCACGCGTAAATCGCGGAGAACGCTATCTTGTGTTTATAAGATCTTTGCTTATTACAGATTTGCACGCGTAAATCCCGGAGAACGCTATCTTGTGTTTATAAGATCTTTGCTGTAACTTAACTTGCTCGTTGGTGGCGCTGTCCAGAATGAAAAAAAAATAATAAGGACTTGTGGCAAGTCTACAACAGCGTGCCAAGTTTTGACGGCCAGATTTCTTCAAATCTGGACGTATAAAAATTCGCCAGGACGTAGCGTTTGAAAAGTCACAGCCAAACTATATTTGGCCGAATTTGTGAAAAGCAGAACCTATGTTGTTTTGCACAAAAGTTTAAATTCTATTTGATTGTAATTGTACCTTAGTTTACATTTAACATGCCAGTCGTACTCGCACTAAAAACTAAATTCATGTCATTACCCCCACCCCCCTTCCACTTTGGCCGAGTTGAAATAACAAAGAAAGTTTTATTTAAAAGAATAGCAGTTACATTTAAACATTTAAATTGTTTAGATGAAATTGTCACTTTTTTATGTAGTTTATCTTCATTTAAAGCTTATAGTTATGAAGTTTGTAACATTGTGTTTCTTTTTATAGTTTTGTTTTTTCTCACAATCTGTTGGTGGGGGATTCTCTTTGTTGGTTGAGCACTGAATAAAATGAAATTAATAGTTTCATTAATTTATTATTTTCCACTTGAACTGTTGGCGCTCCTGTGTTCTTTATGTAGAGCTCTAATGCTCGATGTGATCATTCGGGTCCAATCGTACCTCCACCAAGGAAGAGACTCCTTCGAAGTTACTCTGGAGTTGAGTGGTTTAACTCGATAAGATTCACGAAGAAGATGATTCTGATAGCGAAATTGATTTAATTGATTTAATGTTTAAGTACCTCAACAATAACGTTTCTTCTCGGGTTCTTAAAGAATGTGCTGCTGAATTGGCCTCCCCATTATGCCTTTCTATTAAGACTGGTAAAGGAATGTAGGAAAAAATGACCCTGTTTAAATTGCACTGGTAAAAATGGCCCCAAATGATAAAATTCTGTATCAAAACTAATTTTTTTAATCATTATATGTGTTTTTAAACTGAAATAATTGAGTTTTTTAAAAGAATCTAACATCAAATAAATTGCCATTTATATTTTACTTTTTGTAGGAATAACATAATTATAGATAAAAAAAAATTTTAAATAACATTTTTTATTTTTTTTTAAATTTGAATATTAAAAATTATCAACAATTTAATCAATAAATCAACATAAATCATGCATTTTTTAATACTAAAATAATTTAGTTGTGGCCAATTTCAGAGAAGCGACATGGCAATTTTTAAGAAATTTTTAACTTTAACTTGCTAAGCCCCGCAAAAATAGGCTGATTTGAACATCAAATTATTGTTATTATTATTATTATTATTATTATTAGATAAAAAGAGTTTTACAATCATATTTAAATGTTTTGGATGGGGTTTACGATGTTTTTGGAGGTTTGTGGTGTATTTTGCAGGTATTTTTCAGAAAAAAATCAAGACTTTAACCAAAAATAGGTACTTATGAGTGTATTTAATTTTCTTATTGATATACTAAATCAATCATAATTACATGGTTTGGTTTTCTACAGTATATATCCGGATCTATATCACGCATAGACCTTGTGCTAAATGCGCGACAACGTTATGATCACGCAGTAGGCCATTTTGACCAGGGCCATTTTTACTGGGGTTGAAGAAGTTCACGCCGCCACGCCCACCTCAGCCCCACCATGGTTGGTGTAAATAAGTGGTAAATAACCGACCTCTCCTTTCACCCACTGCTGATCGCCACTGAACTCATGGGTGCACTCTTTTTTTTTCCTCTTTCCTCTCTTTAACATTTTACTCCCTCTTTTTTTAATTTTTCGGCTTGACTGACGGGGGGATTACACCCCCCTGGATCCGCTACTGAAATTGTAGACCCCAA